TTGACAGCTTGACTCCAGGGCCCCAGACACCTTGGTCATTGTGCTCTCTACCATATCAGGACTGCAGTGCCAGTTTAACCAACTCACTGTAGAGAATGTGTCGGCCAGAGGTGATTACACTTGATTCAGGTCATGGAGAAATCAGGCTTGGCCAGTGTGTGATGTCTCTGGGACAGTGAGGTTGGCATTTCTAGGTGGGATAGTCTGCCTATGTGTACTTTGGAACCCCCCTCCCCCATTCATCCCTATTTTCCGCAAGAATAACCAACATTTGCAGCATTGTTTGCTTCCTTAGATTAAGGCATCATCAAAATCCTCTTTAGCAATCTGGAAATGTTTTAGCTATGGATATGCTATGAACCCATTCTCTGACATCAGCTCCTTAATAAGAAACAGAACACTGAACTGTTAGTTCTGATGGCTGGGTGGTATTGGGGAAGCAGTGAAACATCAAGGTATAGTCAGCCAGAAAGTGGGATGACTTGTCACACCTTTTTGGCACAGTCCTACCCTGAATGTCTTATTTGTATGTACTGGAAGTGGTTCTGCTTAAATTTGTTTGCTGTTTAAATTTGTACCTGCAGTGTGCCATGTCCCATACAAGATGCTTTCATAGGTAGATTTTGAATTCTTACCAAAAAGGAGGTGGCACTGTATCCATGGTACAAACGGTAGGTGCTTGAGGAAGCGAGCTCAGAGGATTTACCTGGCTACAGTGATGCAGTCTTTTGCAGTAGATTTAAGCCTAGATCACTTATCCTCTACGTCCAGTCGGTGATCTTTTGCATTATATCTTGCTGCTCCCACTTCAAGCCAGGAAGGGGATGAGAGAATGACTTGTGGCTGATTTATTGGCGCCTGTGGTTGCTAAGAGAGGCCAAGCAGGACTTTTAGCTGCCCTCTCTGCCTTAGAAAGTGGAGCTGTGTGCTTCCACCCTATCTCCTGAGGGGAATGCGAAGGAGCCATGCTGTCTAGCTGGGGAGGAGGGGCCCAAGTGCCTTGGCTGTAAAATATCCTGGCCAGGGCTGTGCTGGGAAGTGTTGCAAAATGCCCTCCCCACAGCTGAACCAAAGGGATTTATTTGCTATGGTCCATAGGTAGGGCTTGACCAACTTGTCCATTTTAGTAACAGGACCAGAGAAGAATTGGGGGTTTTATGTTATTGCTGGTTTTTTCCTTGTTTTAAAAAAGCAGTGCAGGTACTCTTATCTTGGTAAATTATAAAGTACTTCTGCACCACTTCCTGTGCCCCCTTTCTGCTTAGTTATTCCAAATAACATGTGAGTGAACTTCAGTCTTTTGAGAGGAGAAGGCTAAGAAAAATCTTGCTTCCGTTTATAGTTACCAGCGCAGGCTGTGTAGTCAAACCTGGCTGTTTGCTCTCCACTTCATACCATTTGCCAGTTGTGTGTTAGGTTATTTTCTCATCCGTAAAATGGAAATAAAAATAATACATGAATCACAGTGAGGATTAAAAGAGATAATGTATGTGGAGCACTTAGCACAAGGCCTTGCCTCTAATATTTACTCATTATAATAGTAGCCATTGAAAATAATCAGAACAGTATTATTCCCTCTAGGAAAGGGAAGGTATTGCTTTGAACCTGCTTAGGGAGAGTGGAGGAAGAAGAAAGAAAGTGTGTGAAGCAAACATCAGTTTCAGGATTACTGACTGAATTTATTTACTCTTCTGCTTTCCCTTTGCTAGCAGGAATTTTTCTTTCTTTTGCCTTATTTGGAGAAAAAGTGTTTATAGGGTTAAGTCAGTTATTTTTGAAATTTTTGTGTAGTTCATTTCTTCCCTAGTTACAAATCAGTCATACATGAACATTTTGTTCCTTCTGAAAAACTCTAGGCACTTTAAGCAAGGAGTGTCATTAGCCCACATGGGTAATATGTTCGTGGGACTATAGTTCGGTGGCAAAGGAAGTATTGGCTCACCTCTATTCAGAAGTTATAATCACTTTGGTGTGCACTGTACTCTAGGTCTGTACTAACATTGTTTTCCAACTTTCTCCTGTCCTTGGAGTATCCTGTTTTTTCCTTCAGAAATGCAGTCTTTATTTTTTTTTAATGGAGTAAGAAGAATATTTACCTTTTCTTTCGCAGGGTTCTGATTTTCTTTTAAGGCCTATTAACTATTTGCACTCACTGTTATTAGCATTCTTGTTTGCCTGGTGCTGTGGCTTTATCAGCCATCCCGCAATGTTGGTTAGATGAGGGTTAGAGATACAGAAGGCTGGCTGTATCTGCCAACAGGCAGGAGGCCCCAAAATAACATTTCCCTGTTCTGTTAAAGGTTTCTAGAGCATAACTGCTTTTCCTGTATCATCTACCACGTCTGCTTCTTACCCTCAAATAGTAGCCATTGAAAATAATCAGAACAGTATTATTCCCTCTAGGAAAGGGAAGGTATTGCTTTGAACCTGCTTAGGGAGAGTGGAGGAAGAAGAAAGAAAGTGTGTGAAGCAAACATCAGTTTCAGGATTACTGACTGAATTTATTTACTCTTCTGCTTTCCCTTTGCTAGCAGGAATTTTTCTTTCTTTTGCCTTATTTGGAGAAAAAGTGTTTATAGGGTTAAGTCAGTTATTTTTGAAATTTTTGTGTAGTTCATTTCTTCCCTAGTTACAAATCAGTCATACATGAACATTTTGTTCCTTCTGAAAAACTCTAGGCACTTTAAGC